CCACGCACCGCAGGACCCACCTGGTGGAGAAGCCCTACAAGTGCGGTGAGTGCGGGAAGGGCTTCAGCCAGAGCTCCAGCCTGATCGCGCACCAGGGGACGCACACGGGCGAGAAGCCCTACGAGTGCCTGACGTGCGGGGAGAGCTTCAGCTGGAGCTCCAACCTCATCAAGCACCAGCGGATCCACACGGGGGAGAAGCCCTACAAGTGTGGCGAGTGCGGGAAGGGCTTCAGCCAGCGCTCCCAGCTGGTGGTGCACCAGCGGACGCACACGGGCGAGAAGCCCTACGAGTGCCTCATGTGCGGCAAGAGCTTCAGCCGGGGCTCCATCCTGGTCATGCACCAGAGGGCCCACTTGGGGGACAAGCCCTACCGGTGCCCAGAATGTGGGAAGGGCTTTAGCTGGAATTCAGTTCTCATTATACACCAGCGAATCCACACGGGGGAGAAGCCCTACAAGTGCCCCGAGTGTGGCAAAGGCTTCAGCAACAGCTCCAATTTCATTACACATCAGAGAACCCACATGAAAGAGAAACTCTACTGACATGGCGAAGAGGGAAAGTGAGGGGACTGGCCCAGGAGAGGGAGCTGTCACATTGCCCCCGAGCGGGGGTATCTCATTAGAAGACCTGTTCTTGGTCTTTGGAGATTTTTGCCAGAATCTTACCCCTGCTCATCCTCATTCCTAGGGTCCCATCATCTTTGTGGTCGGAGTCAAACCCAAAGAACAGAGTGTAGGAATGGAAGGTCGGAAATTTGGGTCTTTTTCCTGTTCCATTTAATGGCTTGACTGGCTCCCTCTCTCCTGATCCTCTGTGCCTCAGTTTCCTCTTTGGTAGAATAGGGGGAGTGTTTTTTTTCCGTGTGGAACAGAAGACAGCATGGCCCATAGCCCGGCTGAGTCCCCGGAGAAATAGCAGAAGTCGGTTGGTGCCGCCTGGTTGTTGTGCTGCCATTTCGTTGGGCTAAGGTGCCTTCACCCTGAGCTGCTAGCAGTCCAGGCCCCCTGCTCATGTCAGACTGGCTCTTCCTGGCTCTGTGTCCTGGGCTTTGATTTCAAATCAGGGTGGAGGGACTTCTCCAATTCCTATAGAGAAAAGATAAAGCCCTTTTCTCTCTAGGAAGTGTCAGGAACACCAAAACACAAGGGAGTGTGTCCTGGAACCAGTGTCTCCGTAGCCTTTCCATTGATAAGAGTTGAACAGGGCCTTCCAGGAAAGCTGTTAACTGGGGAGATTTACATGTTTGCTTTTATCTCTGCTATTGTCCTGTGGTAAGTCGGCTGCCAGGGGGAATGCACTAGCTCTTATGGCGAATCATAGGGGTTTTTGTTTTTTGTTTTTTGTTTTTGTCTTTTTGAGTGTGAAGGTGGAGACCCCGCCAGCTGC